GACTTTTAGATGAGCCCGAGTTGGGCCTTGCCTGTCTAGAAGCGGCTGTAAGTTTCGTTACTATGCCCCCCTTTCAGACCATAGTTTTAGCGTTCTCTCTACATGTTTTTTTTCAATTTTAAACCAGTTGCAATTTATTGTTGAGAAGACATTCATTTTGTATGAAAATGCATGATGACGAGATTTGAAGGTCGATCTGACCAGAAGACAGATGATTCCGGCTGTATTGCAGCCGATCGGCATTACTACCGCGTATATGCGAAGAGAAGTTGGCTTTCAAGGAACCTCTTGTTTAATAATTGCTGAGCTTGCTTCCATTTCGAGTGAAAGTGTTGGGTGAAAAGATTCGAAGGTCGATTCCACTAGAAGACGACGGCCAATTCGTCTTGACCAGCTGTCGATTGGCTTTACTGGAACATTCATGCTTAACGTTTATAATAGTCTTGGTTAGCTATTTTCGTTTTATAGGTATGTTTTCGAGATTGCCAATAGATCATCTATATGAAACGTTTTTACCCCTATATCGTTTAAGGTGATGAAGGACCAGTCATCGAATTTTCCTAAAATAAACCATTGAGTACGCCTCACGTTTCCACTAAATTTCATATAATCTTGCTTCCCAAAAGATAGCCTCTTCCAGGGTGGATTTCAGTTTCGACCTCGCCTATGTCTCATTAGCACCCTCAGCGGGACTCAAACCCAGGTATTGTGACATATAGTCTCGACACGTTGACCACTACGCCTCACTTCCACAAATGCAGAGTCGTATTTCCCTTCCCCTTAGGTTTTTTTATCAGGGATCATGCTGGTAAAGTTCCAGAAGATGTTTATCACGCATGAGTTCAATGCTAGTAGATTGACTACTATATTAGCAATTTTTACCCAAATTGTGTATCCCAATCAAAAGCAAGTTGATGATTTAGTCGCTTTGCCTTTATTAACTTTCATGCAGGTGGGAATCTCCCTTTTTAAGTATCTTTGTTTTAATTTCCGAATTTACTATTCAGAGTGGACTGCAAGTTCGACATCGGTTAGTTCTCATCAGCACCTCTAGCGGAACTAGAACCATGTTAGTGCAGCGTATAGTCTTTGCGCATTAACTACCACGTCACAGTGCCACAAGTGATCTGGAGTCACAGAGCAGGCGCAAATTTCAAGGAAGGCAAGCTTTTCCCATAGGATTTTGGTGTGATTATTGATGAAGCAATGATGTGCTTGCTGTAGCAATCTACTGTGCTACTGGTAGTCTTGAGACGAAAAATAATGTATTTTGACCTATTTAAAATCTTGACTTAATTATGAGGGCACATAACTGTATAATATTTTTATAACCTTGATTTAGTGTGAGCTCAAGCCTTTAATAATGAGAATACACAGCCTGTTCTCCTTGAAGTGAACTTTAAAAGAGATAAGATAGCTATCTAACCTTGCTTAATTTGGACATCCTCGTATTTTATCCAGTTTCTTCAATTTCATAAAAGTCTAATATTTCCTTCAAATGATATTCATCTAGTCCCCGCTTAGTGATAATTTTATTTATTCTGGTTTCACACTGTCTTCCCACTTGGTCGCCTTGTCAGGGCGACCTAGAAGAATGCACCTTTTGCGAAGGTATTTGCTATAGTAG